TCATCCGGATAATATCAAAGAGGTTAACCAAACTTTGATTTGTCTGATTCCTAAGATTGATGTGCCTGAATTACTTAAAGATTTCAGACCTATTAGCCTTTGTAATGTTATTTACAAGACTGTAACTAAGATTGTGGCTAATAAGCTGAAATCTCATATGGCTCACTTGATTATGCCTAATCAATGTGGTTTTAGTAAGGGTAGACAAGGAGCAGATCATATCATTGTGGCTCAGGAAATCATCCATTCCATGAATAAAAAGAGAGGAGGTAAGGGTTGGATGACTGTCAAAGTTGATTTAGTAAAGGCTTACGACAAGATTTCTTGGGAGTTTCTGAAAGACACGCTTGTGGATGTTGGTTTGCCTGAGAATATTATTTCTCTGATCATGTGTTGTGTCTCGTCATGTACAATGAATTTGTTATGGAATGGATCAACTACGACAGAATTTTCTCCTAATCAAGGTCTTCGTCAAGGAGATCCTTTGTCTCCTTATCTTTTCATCCTTTGCATGGAAAAACTTGCTCATTTGATTAATGTAGCAGTTCAGGAGGACGTTTGGAAGCCTATCAGATTGAATAGAAGGGACCACTGCTTTCCCATCTATTTTTTGCAGATGATCTTCTGCTCTTTACAGAAGCCATAGAAGGGCAAGCTGTTATTATTAATAAGATTCTTGATTGTTTTTGCAGGTGCTCTGGTGAGAAGGTTAGCAAGGAAAAAACAAAAGTCTTCTTCTCCAGAAACGTTAATCATACCCGAGTGCAAAATCTAAGCCAGTTGATGGGCTACTCTCCTACAAATGACTTGGGTAAATACTTGGGTATTCCTCTCCGTCATAGCCGTGTTACAAAGAGTACATTTGGTTGTATCTTAAATCGGATGCAAGCTCGTTTAAATGCCTGGAATCAACGTACTCTTTCATTGGCAGGAATATCAACTTTGGCTAGGTCAGTTCTTACTGCAATTCCTCAATATCCTATGCAAACTTGTATTATTCCTAGTGGTACGTGTGATCGTATTGAGAGTGTAACTAGGAATTTCATTTGGGGATCAACTTCTGAATGAAGGAAAGCTCACCTGGTTTCTTGGGAGACGGTCTGTTTGCCGAAGAATGTAGGGGGCTTGGTTTTCGTAAAATTAAAGAGAATAATATGGCTTTTATCATGAAGCTAGGTCACCGTATCATGACTGGTCGTAATTCGTTATGGGTTCGGGTCCTTCGTAGCAAGTATAAGGTGGAGGAGAGGCTTATTCCAAGTATCTCGGCTTCAGCAAATGATTCTAGTTTATGGAAGGCTATTGTTAAGTATTGGCCTCAAACTCTAGAGAATTATCGTATTATTTTAGGGGATGGAGTTCATACGTCTTTTTGGATGGATTCGTGGGTGCCAGGATGTCCTCAACTTGTTTCTCTGGCCGTTCAACCTATTCCTCCTATTATGACTCATTGGTCTACGTCTCAATTTGTAACTTGTTATGGTAATTGGGACTGGCCTTTATTCCAGCACCTTCTTCCTACTTCAGTTTTAGACAAGATTCGTACTGTGCTCCCTCCTACAGTGGATCCTTCTCCGGACCGTGTTATTTGGGCATGTAGCCAAGATGGGGTTTTTTTCCAGTGAAATCAGCTTATAACTATCTCATGGGTACCTCGCATTATCATCAGGATAGGATTTGGAAGGTAATTTGGGCTTGGCCTGGTCTTGAACGTATTAGACAATTCTTATGGCTTCTCGACAGAGGTTCTCTTTTAACTAATGTTCGTAGAGTGCATCGTCACATGGCTACAGATGCAGCGTGTCTGAGATGTCATTATAATCTTGAGGATAGTTTACATGTCATTAGAGATTGTCCTGGTGCCAGGGAATTATGGGTGCATTGGGTTCCTTCTGATAACCGTAGTAACTTTTTCTCCATGGATCTTCAACTATGGATTCAGACAAATCTAGGATTAAAAGGTCTGTTTCAAACTGATCGAACTTGGCCTTTGTATATTGGGGTGATAGCTTGGTGTTTGTGGGGGGAAAGAAATAAGGCGATCTTTGATCAAACTATCACCTCGAAGTATGGTCTCATTAGGTGTATTACCTATACTTGTGGTAATATTCAATTGGCTAATGAAACCCTTATTAAGATTGGTCATCAGGAGCTTAGAAGAGAGGAACGTCTTATTCACTGGAATTTTCCCTCTGAGGGTTATGTTAAACTTAATGTGGATGGTTCCAGCATAGACAGTGGGCAAATGACTGCATGTGGTGGAGTCATAAGGGATGCTGCTGGGAACTGGTTAACTAGTTTTACAAAATTTCTTGGGAGTGGTACTTCTACTTCAGCGGAAATTTGGGGGTTCTTGTCAGGTATGGATCTGGCTTGACATAAGGGATTTAGGAGAGTCTTTGTAGAGGGTGACTCCAAGGTGGCTTTGGAATTTATAAGAAAAAGGTGTGACGTAAGTCATCCTCTTTCTGCTTTAATCATCCGAGCTCGTAGCATGCTTCAAAGAGACTGGATTATTCAGTTTAGTCATACTTATGGAGAAGGCAATTTTGTAGCTGATTGACTTGCTACTCATGCACCTCATCAGGATGGACAACTGATTGTGCTGGATGTCCCTCCAACGGCTTGTTTGGAATTGCTTCGTAATGACTTGAGGGGGAGTTAGTCTTCCAAGATTGTGCCCAGTATAGGACTTTTTTTTATGTTGCTTTAGTTTTTATTGTATTTCCAAAAACAAAAGATTAAGTTTCCACCATTTCCTCCACTTAATTAGACTCTCAAACTCTGATCTAAAATTTTAAAGACTAGTTTGGATTAAAAAAAAAATTCTAATTTTTTAAATTGAATAAAATTTGTGATAACTCTATATTATTTTTGTTTTTCCAAAATTTTGGGTCGTTATACTGCGTATTTGCGTTTTTTACATTTGCGAAAAATGCAGTGCCACCTTTATCACGTCTTTATAACCTGCGACGTGGAACTCGCAGCTGACGTGTGCTAGACAATACGCATACACACCTGCAATGTGCCGTTTTACGTTACTCTGGTAATATATTTAACGAGGAGTTTAGTCATGTCGATGATTTTGGAATTTGCACCACTACGGTCAAAAAGCCCGTACAGTAAAAAGAAAAAAAGGTCATAAATTTGGACAACAGCTGCTCATAGGAAGGAAACAGAAAAATAAGAAGATTTTTGGTGCTCTTGGAGTATCAATCTTTCAGTGATCCAAATCGATGAAAACGTGACAACTACTCAGGAAAAATAAGAGAGAAAAGAATAAAAAAAATTATACAAATGTCATTCATTCAATGGAAGGATCATGTGGAGGCAGGAGCACTGAAAATTTTCCCCAGAAAAACAGAACCACCTTAAAGACTTCACACAGTCTAAGGTAATGTGGCGGAGAGACAAAGAAACAGATGTTTACAATATTTATTCATGGAGTTTTTGTTTTTCTATTTTGTTTTTGTAGTTATGTTTGTTATGAATCGGCAAATTAATAATTTTTTAGGATTTAGATAAAGTCTTAACATGTGTAATTGATGATTTAATTTATTGGGAATTTTTCTTTTTTTGAGTTTTATAATTGCATAATGAAGATAGTTATTTTTTTTAATTATTTTTAATTTATTTTATCAACTCTGTTGTGACCAACTGGTAAATTTAAGTTGAAATTTTAATTACATGTCCAATTCTTGTAGTCTTGGATGTTGTTGTGCAATAATATTTAATATCCTTGTAATCTAGGATTGAATAGTTCATGCTTCGATAAATAGTTTATTTTATAATTTGAATAGTGCATGTTACTTTAGATTATTTATGTCAATAATTAGAGGGAAAACTATTTATCATTTTAAAAAGGAGCTAAAGTTATGTTCTTTTAGTGACTATACTTATGTATATCATATAATACATAGTTATAATATAAAAGTTTTTTTTTTCTTTTTTCAAGCACTTTTCAAAACTTTAACTTTTCATGTTATAGTTACGTATTTCATGAAGAACATAATTATAATCACTAAAAGGACATAAACTTATATCCTTTAAAATGACACACACTAAACTCATAATTAAAACATCATCATTTTTTTTATCAAACTTTTGTTGTAAACTTTTTTATAAAACTGAATTTATTTTATTTAAATTAAATAAATCTCTGCATTGTTAATGGTGGATTTGATGTTCTAACATATGTTTTCTATTTGATTTTAATTTGAACTGTGTCTTTTAAATTTATCATTTAATGTAATTTTTAATTTATTAAGTAATTAAAATTATTAATTAAATTTAAAAAAATTAAATTTATAGATTTTAGTTTGTTGTGTTATTGTCTGTGAGTACGACTACTTTATATATACTCAATATTATATTAATCTAGATTATTCATAAGTAAGGGTTATTTTTAATACTTAAAAATTTATTATCAGGATGCAGTATGCATAATCTACCCTAAAATTCAAATTCAGTTCCAAACACTAGTTTTTTTTTTTTTTTTTTTTTATCATTTCATAATCTAATAAAATGATCTCGAACGAAATTGGAAGTTTTTAATTAAAATTTAATTTTCTTCAAATTACAATCCAGTTGTAATATATAACATATAAAATTATCCGTCTTTCGCAAGGCAATATGAAATGTCTATTGTACCATATATATATATATATATATATGAAATTTCCAAGTCCTTTCCCGGATGAAATCAGAGGACTAACTATGAAATAACCATTTTGATGAGACTTTTTGGTCGTCAACCCCATGTTCTACGCCCAAAGCTTATCCCTCATCTTTACTTTACCATTTATTCTTTGCTTGACTTACTTCATCATTGACTTGGTAGGATCATGTGCCTCTGCTATTCCAAACCCAAACCAAGTTACACTCCCAAGTATATCTACAAAATTCAACAAGTACACCCCATTTGCCATCACAATAGAGGAGACCAAAAATATTTCACAAACCATAAACTACAACATTGACATCCACCCAATAACACATCCATGGCTTCCTATAAGATTTTCTTCCCCATTATCCTTGTTAGCATATTCAGTTTTATAACTACTGAAGCACTTGACGACCCTCTTTATCTATACCATTATTGCTCCAGCAACAGAACCACAACCAATACCTCATTCGAATTGAACCTTAGGACTCTCCTTTCTTCCTTAACATCTAACGCCACTGGCAGCACCCAATTCTACAACACCACATTCATTGGCGAAAACCCCTCAGACTCAATCTATGGATTGTTCATGTGCAGGTGTGACATCCCCTCTCAGCTCTGTCAACAATGTGTTATAAATGCAACCCAGAAACTTTCCTCAGAGTGCTCCTTATCCAAAGAAGGTGTGATTTGGTACGACGAGTGCATGGTTTGGTATTCCACCACCTATTTCTTCTCCACCCTTGCCACAAAGCCTAGTTTTTACCTGTTGAACACAGACAATGTCTCAAACCCTGAAAGCTTCATGCATTTATTGTTTTTGACCATGAATGAAACTGCTGATGAAGCAGCTCGTGCTCCTATTGGTCACAAGAAATATGCAACAAAGGAAGCAATTGTGTCTGGATTTCGATCCCTTTATTGTCTAGCTCAGTGCACACCAGATCTTTCACTCCATGATTGCAGAACATGTCTTAGTGGAGCAATAATGGAACTTTCATCGTGCTGTGAAGGAAGGATAGGTGGTGGAGTTCTTAACCCAAGCTGTAATATTAGGTATGAAATGTACCCCTTTTATCTCTCCTCTGTTCCCTCATCAATGCCTGCACCAATGCTTGTTCCTGTAACACATACTTCAGATGCAGATACAAGATTTTCAGAAGACCCTGTTTATCTTTCACACAATTGTTCAAGTAATAAAACCTTCACTACCAACAGCACTTTCCAAATATACCTCAAGACCCTCTTCTCTTACTTGTCTTCCAATGCTACCAGTGGCAATGGATTTCATAACGTTAATGTTGCTGACACAGTGTTTGGCCTCTTCATGTGCCGAGGTGATGTCCCCTCTCTTCTCTGTGAACAATGTGTCCTAAACGCAACACATCAAATATCCTCAGAGTGCCACTTGTTCCAAGAGGCTATAATTTGGTACAGTCACTGTTTGCTTCGTTATTCCTATTGGAATTTCTTCAGCGTAGTAAACAGAAGTCCTATATTTTTCAAGTTGAATATCACCAGTACCTCAAGCCCCAATCAGGAGCAAAGCTTCTTCAATTTTGCAGTATCGAATGCATTATCAGAAGTGGCAATCATGGCAGGGGACAGTGACAAGAGATATGGAACAAAGTCATTAAAGTTGAATGACTTACAAACCGTTTATAGTCTTGCTCAATGTACACAAGATTTGTCTAGTGATGATTGCAAGGGGTGTCTAGCAGATGTCATTGGAACAGAAATCCCATGGTCTCATTTGGGAAGCGTAGTGGGGAGAGTTCTATATCCTAGCTGCAATCTCAGGTTTGAATTGGTCCAATTTTACAGAGATGGTGACCAAGCTCAGCCACCCACGCCAGCTAGTCCTTCTCCATCAAGACCCGCAGGTACAATCCTTGAAGAATTAGGCTTTGATAATCTCTTGTATTATTGATTTCTCTAATTTTTTTTCTCTTTTTCTTTATTTTATAAAACAATCTAAAATGTTGTAGACTAAATTGGACATAATTGAATTTGAAACTAGAATTAAAACCATTGTATGGTAAAATGAGAAAACTGATAGGATTGGATCGAATTTTTTTTTGTTTTTGTTCTGTCACAGTGACAGAGATATCCAGTCGATGATTGATATGTTAATATTGGATCTAGATACCCTCTCTCAATTACTTATAGGGAAGATACCTCAGAGAATAGCGTATCACTGTTTATTATTATAGCGACATAGCCAAAGGGTAGGGTATGTGTAACACCCCGTGTATACCCGGTTTGTTATCATGTCATCGTAATAAGCCACACTTAATTAAAAATGCGGAATATGTTTTTCTTTTTAATTATGACGTCATTATCATTTACCAAGTTGCTTATTTAATTCTTTTTCCAAACATTGTCTGTATGTAAATTGCAATTAAACAACTAACTGAAATACCTCATTAAATAAATAACTGAATGTGGGTCTCTAGTCACGGAACTACAACACGTAGATCAGACAGATCCTGATAGTTTATACAACTCAAAAAAACTTAAACATCGTCAAATCAATGTGGCATGGACAATCCTCATGCTCACCAATAAACAACATACTCATCAAGTCTCAAAACAAACAGCATGATAAAGGATAAGGTATAATCACTAAACAGGTACATCAGCATAATCAGCAAGCATATCAATCAACTAAGCTCCGGCCTCCTGCCGCTAGAGGTCTCAGCCCCTGGGTTACCTGGACCTGAAATAAGCGCCCCAAACGTAGGGTGAGATCTTTAAACAGAAATCTCAGTAAGGCAACGGGTCCTCAAGGATTTCCCCACCCCAAGCTCACTTACATGTGCAATACAAGTTCTAAAAGCAGGTTAACAATATGAGTTCCAAATCAGTGCAATGCAGCAGATAATCATGTCATGTGAGTTAACTATTCTACTGGCCAGAGAAATGCAAGATTTACACACGTCTATTACCCACATAGTACACACCCATGTCGTACCTGCCCACATGATCATCATCCCGTCTAGGCGAAACATCATATACATATCCTAGGCATTTGCACTTAACAGCTCAAAAGCATTTCAATAAAGCAATACATGAAAACACATCATGCATATAAACCATTCCCCATTGGGTCCACAAACCCAAAATCTCATTCTGTATGAACAGTACCGTTACTGTCTCGAAATTCTCAGAATATCTGAATATTTGTCGGGGACATATCCGGAGATCCATATCCGGATATTTATATCCGGATATCTCCAACCCAATATCCGAATATCAATATCTGGGTATTTCGCGACAGAATGCAGTTTCTGCATTTCGCGAGATATCACTCCAAAGGTTCCTCTTTTAACACATAAGAACGTTAAAGCATGCATCTTTATAGGCTTTTAGGTTCATGTTCATGTTGGTTACTTGTTTATCTTATTAAACATGCCAAGGTTCAACTTTTAACAATGAAAACTCATGATCAAGGTTCAACAACTTATCCCAAAGGTTCAAAACATAAAAGGAATGCTCTTGGAGCTCCCACTTCAGCTCCTAAGGTGCTGACCACTGAAGTACACGAAAATGGCACACAAAACTTAGTTTTTCTTCACAAAGGTTACCACTTTGAGTTCCCACAATCAAGGAAAATGGCTTCCACAACTCAAGCCATGGAAGTCAGCCCACAAATTCCAACAACAGAGGCAGAACACTCAGAAAATGGGAGTCTCACTCACTCACAAGTCCACTTCACTCTATCTCAAGGTGCTAAGGTGAAGGTTCATTGAATGAAACGGTGTCTTTGCTCACAAAAATGGAGGAGAAGAGAAGGTGACAAGCTTGGGAGGCAACCAACTTCAGAAATGGAGGCGCAACATGTTTTAAAATCTGACCTAGGGACATGTGCCCTCATATTTATAGGGCTATCAATTTTAATCACACTGTATTAGCGCTAATAGCTACGCTTAGCTTTTTAATCCCAAACTTAGGATTCTGAACCTACTCATTTTTCTAAGATTTGTCATATTTTTATATTATTTTTTACAGCACCTTTTCGGTACGCGCTTTTACATAGTCAATATCAGTTCTGACACCATTTCTCATTATTTCAACCTGAAACTTGTTTTACTAGTCTTATATATTATTCTAGGAATACTTCCATACATATAATAATTTTCCGGGATACTTCATCGGTACGCATTTATACCGTGGAGCAGAACCAGTATCTGCATTTTTCGTCAGAAAAGCGACTTTCAGCATTATTATTCCCTTACCATAATTATTTAAGCCTTCTCATAATTATTAGGGTCAATTATGGAACTATCTCATTAATCACCTAATTAATTAATTAAATTTCTTAATTAACGGTGCGAGTTCTTACAGTATGTGTACAGTGACAACTAATATAGATAGGGTTGAGAATGTCTATACGTGGTTAGCTTAACCATTTATTTATAGATGGGTTACCTGACATGAGTAAATTTGTGGCCATTTTATGAATATTAGGGGTCCAGTTCCTGATTCATTGTTGTTGCACTAGGATTAGTACGATTAAGGAATCTTTCCGTAATTTTCCTCTTGGTTGTTTGCCCCTATTAAGCCTTCTAAAATTGGGCCTTTTATGTCAGTTCTACAACAGGTGTCTCCCATCCTGGTAGTCTGGATGTCTAGGCTACCAGGGTGTAATAGATGTTATCTATATGTTGATGGACTTGTCTTCTTTTTCCGACAATTTTCCTATTGGTTGAATTGGTGATTGCTGTTATTCTCTCCAAGTGTATTCGAGATCAAACTTGTCATACTTCGATATGGGGATCCAATCATGTCCTGGTCCATGTTGGGTGCTAAGTGAGTCTAGACTCATCTCTGCAGTGTTGGCTTCTCATGCTGGTCAAATTTTTTTGACTGAGGTTCGTGGAGGTGTTTTTCCTTTGACCTTCTTGTCGTGGTCTTAGCCCTTTTCGAGTTGCGATACTTTTATAGAATTCATGTGCTCTGGATTCTATTCTTTGGGTATTTTCTGGGTCATATTGAGTATTTTTATGCTTCCTTATTCGAATTTTAACTTTGCCTTTGAATAGTTGTACCGAGTTTCATGACTCGGGTATTGAAGAATCTGTTCTGATATTCGTCCCTCAACCTTTTTTGGCCGATCTTTCTTTAGATTGCCATGGCCGAGTTCTGATGCTTTTGTTCTTTATGATTCCTTGCATTTATGTCTTGGCTAGCCACCGCCAAGGTCCCATCTTTATTTGTTAATTGACAAACTGCACATGTTAGAATTGAAAGCAAAATCGTGAAAAACAAAAAACAATTTGGGAGCTTGTGCAGTGCATCAAGTTACTCCTTGTGTGAATCCTGGCAACGAGCTTTGCCTAGCAATATAACTTGATGATGACCTTTGCAATCGATCTTTCTGACACATGCTCGTTTGGACTGAGGCCGAGAATTTAGGTTTTCCTTTTCGTCCGATCTTCGAGCTATTATTGTTGCCGGTTTACCTGGAGCTCGGCCACATATGTGCGCGTGGCTGGACCTTCTTAGGTCCTGGGGCCTGAAACCCTTCCCTTATCAAACCCTTCTTATGAAGAGGTTCGACTTTCTTGCGACTGTAGCAGTTACTGGTGGCTTTACGCGGTGCTTGTTTATCATAATTGGGTGGAAATCAAAATTTAATGAATTCCCACACGACGACGCTAATGTTCTCTCCTAGTGATAGATATGTCAAGTTGATAACTTGTATGTTAATATTGGATCTAGATGCGCTCTCTTAAGTACTTATAGGGGAGATACCTTAGAGAATAATATATCACTGTGCATTATTATAACGACATAGCCAAAGGGTGAGGTGTGTGCATAGTGATATCTAAGAGAGAAAGTGATGACAATGTCTGTACCTAATTAGCTTAACCCTTTATTTATAGATAGGTTAACCGACATAAGTGGATTTTTAGGTCTTATATGAATATTGGAGGTCCAGTTCTTGATCCATTGTTGTTATATTAGGATTAGTATGATTAGAGAATCTTTGCATAATTTTCCTCTTAGCTATTAGCCCTTATTGGACCTTCTAGAATGTGGGCTTTTATGTCATAAACATAACAATTTTTTTTCTTCTCAAAATTGATCCAATTCAACTCCAAATAGGATTTTATTTATTTATCATAATCCACTATCAATACAACATATTGCGTTACAAACCTTATCTTATAGTTAAGTTAGAATCAAAAAGCATATCAAAACAAATGCACCAAGATAAATATTATTATATTAGTATTGTACTTCACACACCAACTTCTTTGACGCAATTCAACTCGAAATAGGTTTTTTTTTTTTTTTTTTTTTTTTTTTTTTTTTTTTTTTTTTTTATCACAATCCACTATCAATAATGGGCTGATGACCATCCAAGTTCATTTTTTCTCTAGTTAACACAATGGATTCTTTCTCAAATTCTTTTCCATTTTAGATATTCTTTAAAACTTTCTTATGGCCTTGAAAATTTTCAAACCCCTCATCTAAGGAGTCCCGAGAGTCTTGCAAGACATCAAAGTTTAAGTTTGGATTTTCATCAGTGTTTTCTGCATAACAATATATTTAGTGGTTGAACTTTTGTTAGATATCAGCCTTTACAAGATTGTTGAGGGATTCATTGAGAGCTTCATTAAGATACTCCTAACAGTGGTGAAGCAAGGGAGGGGTTAATCGACCCCATCAAGTTTATACAAACCTTTAGATTTGAATACTATTTTTTATTTTTTTGGTAATGTAATTAGTGTTCGTCCCACTTCAAAATTATAGAATCCTTTAGCTGTAAGAACTTTTTCTATTTTTTGTCATGTAAATAGTTGTGACTTCAAAGAAAAAAAAAAGTTGCAATTTTACCCTTGTTAAAAATATATTTGACTCTGAATCTTCACTAAATTTCTCTACACCATGAGGGGAAGGACTCCCATGATGCAACATCAAAACGATGTCGTCTTGGGTTGCAGGAGATAACTTTATCTCATTTGACATGAGAAACACTTTTCATATATATATATATATATATATATATATATATATATATATATATATATATATATATATATATGGAAAGAATTAACTTACACCGGTATAAGAATAATAAGTCTTATATCAAATCTTAACTGTTGATTTTCGTGCATTTAATGATTGTAAGACTTGGAAGTCTTACTCCCCATTTCAGCCGTTGATTTCCACCCATTTAACTGTTATCATTTATTTGAAATTAATATTAATTAATTAATTTGTATAACAATAAATTATAACCGTTAGATGGACAAAAATCAATGGTCAAAATGGGGAGTATGACTTCTAAGTTTTACACTAGAGTCCAAAGATCTATGCCCGTGTGTGTGTGTGTGTGTCTCTCTCTCTCTCTCTCTCTCTCTCTCTCTCTATATATATATATATATATATATATATATATATATATATATATATATATATAGGAATTTACATTTCTGCAGCTGCTCTACGCAGTGATGGAACCAGGAAATTTTTTTTATGTCCGCACATTTAGTGGCGGGGGTTCGAGGGCAGCGCCCCGAATTTTTTTTTGTAAAGAAAGTTTAAATCAACGTTTAAACCCGACCATAATCTAGTTGCTTCCATAACAAGCTGCAGGCAATAGTTTGACCAATTATTTCTCCCCCCCTAAATCTTACCAATCCTCCAAAACAAATATGAGAATATACTCTAGTACATCCATACATCATCATTCTATTATTTTGTAGTGGTGAATAAATAAGTCAACACTACCTGCACAGAAGGCAAGAAAAATCACAGTGAATGTCTCGTCTCTAGATATTAACTTATTTGAGAATGTCAAACCTGCAATCAATCCTCTCTTTTTATAAAAATGAAAAAGGAAACAAGGATGGAGAGAGCATGTGAATGGGTACGTGACAGCGGAGGAAAAATAATTTTTCTCTCTAATCAATTTGCGTTGCTACATTTTTTTAATCATCTCCGTACGGTGCTACGTTGCTAACTAATATAATAATAAATATCATTTTTGGTCCCTAACAAAAAATTTAATCCCCACTTTAGTCCATTATAAAAAAAAATTAGTCACCTGGTCTTTATGAAAATTCAAAGTGGACCCCTTTTGGTCTTTTAAGGGACTAATGTAAGTCTTTTTTGAATTTTTGAGGGACCACAATTTTAACTAAATTGATCCACTTTAAATTTTTTAGGGACCTCGAGACTAATTTTTTTTGTAAGGGACTAAAATGGGGACCATGTTTTTTGCTAGGGACTTAAAAGAATATTTACTCCTAATATATATATATTGAACCAAGAGACAAATAAGGACCTACAATCAAAAAAAAAATTGAAATAAAAAATTTTATGTCTGCACTTGCGGGCATTTGCCCGCAAGCGGGTCCGCCACTGGCTGTACGTGCAGCAATCAAATACTTCCTATATATATACGTGAAAACATTAAATGCTAGGAATCATAATCATACAAAAGATGAAAGCATTAAATATAGAGAATTATAACCATACACCTGTCGTTATTCTACGTAAAGCAGCGGCAGAAATAATTTTACAACATATATATATATATATATATATATATATATATATATATATATATTTTTAAAAAACAACATTCGAACTCCTCATTACGAGTGATTTATAATTTTTTAGCTTATTTTTTTCTTTATTTTCATCAAATAACTGACTGTGTTTTACAAGTCTTCATTGGTTTTAAATGATTCTTACCAATTTATCCATTTAACCAGCTTTATGGTTTAACTATGGTCATTATAATAATGTCTGCTTGTTGATTGAACTGATCCAGATAGTTTATATATATGTATCTTTCTATAAGAATTTTTTTATATTATAAAATTAAAGGAAGTTACTTGAGTATTTTAAAAATTCATCAATTTCAAAATATTAACGAGGTAACATATATTACAAAGAAGTTCCATGCAGATGTGCTTCACGAAGCAAACCAGGCCATGCTTTGATAATCAAGAATCTTAAGTACTGTTATCACCAATTAAATGATAATAAATATGATTATTTAATATGATTTCTCATGGTTATTTAATATGATTATATCATGTGAGATAAATTTAATTGTTGAGATATTTAGAGATGAGAGGGAAAAAATATTAGAATAGGGAGTAAAAAGAAATACAGTGATTTGACCGTAAGTGATTTTGACGTGACAATATTAACTTAGGATTCATTTATTCTTAATCACAATATATACCTTTAGAAAATTTTGTCTATATAAAAAGTTTGTCAACTTAACTAAATCTTTTAGCTATAGTTGTTTATTTTTGTGTATGTTTTCATTAATTTATAAATGGAAGATATCGTTAAAATTTAGAAATTAAGATCAAGCAAATTGATGGAATGGTTACGCAAATGGCTGTTGTTTGATTATTCATGTTGTTATCAACATATCATGACTTGCCATAAACTATACTACTCAATGTGAGTAAGACATGTGTTGTTTGGTTTGTGCAGAAAAAATGAAGGGCCGGTCTAGAACAATAATATTGATTGTTGTGCCCACATTTGTTTCGGTGTTGTTCTTCTTGTTTGGCTGCTATGTTCTAAAGAGAAAAGCACGAAAGAGCCATAAGACTATTCTTAGAGAAAACTGTATGTATTACAATTTTTTTTTTAAACCTATGCTTCTTAAGCTTCTAGAAGTGTGACAACATAGTTTAACAATTGAATCATGTTTGATCTAGTTGGTCATGAAAGTTTCACTCTGGAGCAGCTGCAATTCGATTTGGCTGTGATTGAAGTAGCAACCAATGACTTTTCAGATGAGCATATGATTGGCAAAGGTGGATTTGGAGAAGTTTACAAGGTTAGAAAATGTGATAAAATTTGTTTTAATATTCTTATTTTTCCTTTAAATAATAGTTTATACTTTTAGGGCATTCTTCTTGATGGACGACAAATAGCTGTAAAAAGACTCTCAAGAAGTTCTAAACAAGGTGTTAATGAGTTCAAGAATGAAGCTTTATTGATAGCGAAGCTTCAACATAGAAATATAGTGGAATTCATTGGCTTTTGTGTTGATGAACGAGAGAAAATGCTTATTTATGAATATGTGCCCAATAGGAGCCTTGACTACTTTTTATTTGGTTTGACACTTTTCACTTTAAACTCTTCAATTAATTATTATTTAGATTCATGCGTTATATATATATATGCTTTTATATGAACTTGATGCAATTCAATTTACTGATTACAAATCGTGTTTAACTCTTACATGTTTCACCTGACCAATTTTGTAGATTCTCAGAGGAAAAAGTTGTTAAGCTGGTTTGAACGTTATAATATTATACGAGGAATTGCTCAAGGAATTCATTATCTACATGAACATTCTCGACTCAAAGTTATACATCGTGACCTAAAACCTAGTAATGTTCTCTTAGATGGCAATATGATTCTAAAAATTTCTGATTTCGGTTTGGCTAGAATTGTTGAAATGAATGAAGACCATGGAAGTACAAATAGAATTTTTGGAACATAGTAAGTTTTGATATTGATCATCCACTTACTTTCCTTTCTCACCTCTTCTTAAGGTATGTTTTAACCAAATTTATTTATTTTTATTTTATAGTGGTTATATGTCTCCGGAATACGCAATGCTCGGGCAATTTTCTGAGAAATCAGATGTCTTTAGTTTTGGAGTCATGGTTTTAGAGATTATTACTGGAAAAAAGAATGTAGGTTCATATGAATCACATTGTGTTGCTGGTGGCCTCTTGAGTTATGTGAGTATAATAGTCTAACCATTTGTTTCCTTGCATTAATACTTTTATGCCATATATCCAATGTACATTGGGTTGATTCAAACACAATGATATGTAATGATTTTGTTATGTTATTTGTCAATTTGTTACAGGTTTGGAGACAGTGGAAGGATCAAACACAACTAAGTATATTGGACTCGTATATTAAGGAAAATTATTATGAAATTGAAGTCATTAAGGGCATTCAAATTAGTTTATTATGTATTCAACAGGACCCTAATGCTAGACCTACAATGGCAATCGTTGTTTCATATCTTAGCAGTGATTTTATTGAATTACCAACTCCACAAGAACCTGCATTTGTCTTGCACAATGAAATGAGTCCAAAATCATTTGTAGATGAATCATGTTCCAGTCAATCTATCAACAATCCCACACCATTCTCTATCAATGAAATGTCTATAACCGAATATCTTCCTCGATAGTAAATTAATTTTACTTTTGATAACATTGTCTACTAATATTTTTATTGTATGACAATTGAATCTCACTTGAAACTTTTGTTGGAAGAGATTGAGTTGTAATCTTTTTTTTCATTTTGTTCATTAATCTTTTTATGTATAGGAGCTCTATTGTTATGTTCTAATTTGGAATTTCAAACAAAAGCAGCAAGGATATTTTTCCATCATCATAATATGTAAACAAAGTAAGTTATTACTTGTTGCTGTAATGTTAGATTTTTTGAGGTGGTATTATGTATAAAATGATTACGTGAATGTGACAAGTATATATAAAAAAAATCAAAATAGTTGAGTATATGAATGAAAGGGAGTGAATTATTATGCATTTAGTGCGTGCCTTACAAATAGAAACATTTCCATTTATTTCTTCTACTCTTACTTTATTTTTCCTATATATATATTACTCTCCTATCATTCAAGCTGTTATCCTTCAATATTATCCCAAGTTTTATAAGGTCAGATAAAATATAACAATTTCTTTATTCTTGAGAATATTATACCTTGCTCTATAACACCTCGTATTTTGTAAATGTATTAATATATATATATATATATATATATATATATATATATATATATATATATATGAAAATGTAGTTTAAAGGGTAAGATTAGTGAAAATCCTGAGATTAGAGTCAAATTGCATAAGAAGGGTAAAATGGTAATTTACCAAACACGTAACCCTAGGCAAAAAAAATTGAGTAGAAGACCTCAAATGGTAAAAATAATGCCGAAAATGGATTCAGGACGAAAAGTCGAGTGGATAGGCAAGTTTCAGAAAATTTGATGAATAGTGATTTGTCGGTGTAAAATACTGCGGTATAATTGTATCGATAAGCGCAAGAATATGATCAGTATTTCTAGGCAGTAAAAATATGACGTGAACGAGAAAAATACATAGGTTATGAATTTGTGGGTTAAATTAGATGATTTAAGAAAGTTAAGCAACGTGTGGGACCCACTTAAGTGATTTAAGTGACAAATGGACAAAGTGAAACACAATCTCATAATCTTCTCTCTCCTCCTTCTTCTTCATTCGTCGAGCTCTTCACCATTGGAAGGGATTTTGAGCTTTTGAAATTTTAACTTTTTTCTAGACATTTTTTAGAGAAACTCCCAACTACAAAGTTGTTCCCCTTGAGATTGTGTGACTCTCATGTAGAGTGCACCTTGTGGGGATCATTGTGTGAGGAGTTATACTCCAAAATCAGCCACGAAAATTTGGTGTTTTGGAGGGTTTTTGGTGTTTAATTGGCTTGGTCCATTGGTTGGAGATCATTCCCTTGGACCCTAGGAAGCTATTGGTGGTAAGTTTTAACACTCTCAATGAGTTTTCCATCAGATCATAAAATGGTGAGGGGATTTGGTTATGTGTGTTGAGTTGTGATAGTTAGAAGTGTAACACCCTGTATATATCCGGTAATGTTATCATACTATCGTATTAAGCAGCGCTTAATTAAAAATGCGGAATATTTTTTTTTCAATTATGATGTCATTATCATTACCAACTTGCTTATTAATCAATTAATAAAACATCTCCTGTATGTAATTGCAATAAAACAGCTATCTGAAAATACCTCATAACATATATAATAAAAGTGTGGCTCTAGTCACGGAACTACAACAACGTAGACCGGACTATCTAACAGTTTATACAACTCCAATCTAAAATACTAACATAATGTGTCATGGACAATCCCCATGCTCACTCAAATAAGGCAACATGCCCAACATCAGTCTCAACAACGACAACATAATCATAAATAGCGGAAAACATAAACAGCATCCAAATCCAGTCATGGCAGCAATACATTATAATATCATCAACTAAGCTCTGGCCTCCTGCCGCCAGAGGCATCAGTCACCAAACTACCGGAACCTGAAATAAGCATTCCCCGAACGTGGGGTGAGATCTCTAAACAAGAAATCTCAGTAAGACAAGGGGTCCTCAAGGATCTTCCACCCCAAGCTCACTTACATGTGCAATATAAGTTTAAAAGCAGATATCATCATCAGTTCTAAAATAGTGCAATGCAGCAGATAATCATGTCATGTGTGTCAATTCTATTCTACTGGCCAGAGAAATGCAGGATTTATATACGACTAATACCCACAAATAGTGCAAGACGCTACTTGCATCCACCCCGGATCACCGTCTTGTGTGACGCTACATACTCAGGCTTACCGTCAAGATGGAACAACACATACATATTAAAAGCCATTACACATAAAGCTCAACAACATTTCAAATATTCAAAGCAATTAACACAGCATGCATAAAACCACACCCCCATGGGACATGGTGGAACCACAACATGGCTAAACCGAGGACACGAAAGCTTACCTTGCAAGCTAACACCCAAGGCCAAGAGTCCACAGCTCAAAGTCCAAACACAGCAGATTCACAATCTGTTATGGACCAATACTATATCAATAATAATGCAACACAAGCATATAACTTAAAGACAACGCCTTTCCTTACGTTTTACGTCTTAAGGCTCCATACCAAGCCATAAGCCCTTAATCACAACGATTCTGACTTAGTTCATTAATTACAGAAGTTCAACTTCATCAATCTAGGGTCCACAAACCCCCAATAGCCTACTGTACACACAGCCCAGCTACTGTTTTACGAAATCCTAGAATATCCGGATATTCCTCGGGACCATATCCGGATATGAAATATCCGGATATCTCACTGGACATATCAGGATACACAATATCCGGATATCCAGATTCCCATATCCGGATATCTAATATCCGGATGTGCAAATCCCATATCCGGATATCACATATCCGGATATTGCTCGGGCACATATCCGGATATTTCACGACAGAATGCAGAAACTGCATTTCGTGAAGATATCCTTCCAAGGTTGGGTTTTTACCGATTTTAAACACCTAAACATACATTTCTAGGTGTGTTTGACATTACCCAACGTTAAGTTATCATCTTTTAACCTTTACATGCATCAAGGTTCCATTTTTACACACTTAAACTCAAGTTCAAGGTTAAAGATCATACCACAAGCTTAAACTCAGCAAGAATGACCCAAGGAGCTCACCAACAACCCTCCCAAGTACTGTTTCTACAGGTACACGAAAATGGACCAACAAGATGAGTCCTTTCCTCACCAAGGAAGCTACTTGGAGTTCTAAACCACCAAGAACAAGTTGACTCTCCTCCAAACTCTCCAACTCAGAACCAGAACCTCACAATAAACTCAAAAAGATGACTTTTTTCTGCTCACAAGACTCACACTCAAGTGTTTACAAGAGAAAAAGTGAAGGAAATCAAGAAAGGAAGTAACTTGGCCACAAAATGGAGAAGAAACTCAAGGAGGAAGCCTCAGCTGGTTAGCCTTCATAATTCTCACGCTGGAAATTCTGTTATCTAGGGCAATGTGCCCTTAATGAGGGTATATATAGCCCATTTAAAGATTAACACACAGTATTAGCTTTAATTGCTACGTTTAGCATTTTGATCCCAAACTTTGGAATCTGAAACTACACATTTTTCCAAGAATTATCATATTTTTCTTATAATTTTCTGAGCACCTTTCCGGTACGCGCTTTTCAAAGCCAGTACCGGTTTCTAGCACCAGTTCTCATTATTTGGACTTGAAACTCGTTTTACAAGTCCTACATATTATTCTAGTAATTATCATGCACTTATTATAATTTTCTGGGATACTTTTTCGGTACGCATTTATACCGACTAGCAGAACCGATATCTGCACTTTTCTTCCGAAAAGTGACTTTCAGCATTATTACTCACTTACCATAATTATTAAAGCCTCATAATAATTATTAGGGTCAATTATGGAATCATTTCCTATTTTCTCATAATTTGTTAATTAAATTCCTTAATTAACGGTGCGGGTTCTTACATTCACCCCACCTTTTTAGGATTTTGACCTCAAAATCAGAAACATACCTGGTCGAAACTCGGGGTACTGCCGGAGAAGCTCGTCCTCACGCTCCCAAGTACACTCCTCAGGAGTTCTTCCGGTCCACTGCACTTTGACCATCGGAATGATCTTGCTGCTCAGCTGCTTCTCGCCACGATCGAGAATCTTTAGTGGTCCGACGGGAGTCTTTAGGTTCTCCCAAACCTCCACATCATCCGATTGCACCACGTGCGATGGATCTGCTATGTACCTCTGAAGCTGAGACACGTGAAACACGTCGTGGATGTTAGCCAGGTTCGGAGGCAAGGCAAGCCGGTAGGCAATAGGTCCTACTCTACCAAGAATTTGGTATGGCCCAATAAACCGCGGGCTCAGCTTCCTCACTCCGAGTGCCCGTCCAACACCGGTGACAGGTGAAAGTCTCACAACCACGTGCTCACCCTCACTGAACTCCAGTGGACGATGCTTGACATCGTAGTAGCGATTCTGGCGATTCTGCGCCTGCTTCAGCTTTTCCCTGATCATCTGGATCTGCAGGGTGGTATCTTGGACAAAGTCCAAGCCAAACAACTCACGATCCCCAACCTCAGACCAGCAGGTAGGTGTACGACACCTCCTACCGTAGAGCGCCTCGTAGGGTGCCATGCCCAGGCTAGCATGGAAACTGTTGTTATACGAAAACTCCACAAATGGAAGGTACATATCCCATGCCGAGCCCTGCTCCAACGTGCAAGCCCGCAACATGTCCTCCAAGGTCTGGATAGTCCGCTCAGTCTGTCCATCAGTCTGAGGGTGATAGGCTGTACTCAGTCTCAACTGCGTACCAAAAGCTCCCTGCAGCGCCTCCCAGAACCGAGATGTGAACTTCGGGTCCCTATCACTAATGATACTCTCGGGCACCCCGTGAAGCCTCACGATCTCGCGAACATAAATCTTGGCCAACTGCTCTGTAATGAAGCTCACCTTCACTGGAAGAAAATGGGCAGACTTTGTCAATCTGTCCACAATGACCCATATCGAGTCACAGCCAACCTGAGTCTTCGGCAAACCCAC